ATCAAGGATTTGAAACCAAATTCGTGCAATTTTGATGATACGATCTTAAAATTAATATACCGTTTATCGTTAGGTAGTTTAGTAATGAATGTTCCAATTTTTACTTAACTCTAGTTTCGAATCATCTATTTATTTACCATTTTTCTTTTACCTTTTCCAGGCTAGCTTAAAGCCTAGCGTGGGATACATTATTATTTACATTTCCCTGGCTAGTTTCAAATCTAGCGCGTGGTACGTTATGTACCTTCCACAACTGGCTCACGTCTAATGCATGTACATATAACCATTTTGTTGAGATGAATTACCTTGAGTTACCTATTTGATAAAATTGTTAATTCTCTTTCATTTTATTGACTAAAATTGATGCATCATTGTTACGTGTATCATTAAATTATGGCCCATGATTATCTAATAAAGTAAAGTAACCATCAGGTGCTACAATTAATCCTGCTTTTAACAAAATATACTTTTCATAACAAGAATATAATTGACGCTGCACACGTAAATCGAATCTTTTGCGATCCTTCATATGGGTAAAGTTTGGGTAGAGTATTACTCAATGTTCATTTGATTTAGAGTTGGAAAAAATATTAAAAACTGTAGTCACATAGTTTAAAACTAAAGTGGTCTCTGTTTCTCATTTTAAATGAATGAAATCCAAGATTTCCACAACAAATCAAAACATCAAACTCTCACTAAATTAAATGCCATACTAACATTTTGCCGAGATTAGTAAAAGACTTTAAAAATCCATCACGTGGGCCTCATCTTAGCTTTATTAAAAACGTAATTAGATGTTTTGTTATACGATTTCTATAATTAGTGCTATCAAATATTGAATCACAGTATGCGCACATTTCCAAAAAAAAATTTTTTGGTCAAGGAGGTGATGGATTTAAAGTTATTGTCATTAAAATTATTTTCGCCCTCAAACCATTTTCCAGCAGGCACAGCTTTTCTAATTTTAGAAATACATGGTTTTCTTTCTAGGCCATTTATCCTGACATCTGTCGGCACTGATATGTGATTTTAAACAAATTGCAATTTTATCAATCCAGCATCGGTTAAGTGTATACTGCAACAAAATTTATTGTTTGACAAGAACATATCAGTTTTAATATGAAAGTCAACCCTCGTATCTACCTACACAACTTGATAATTCCTGGCACATATATTTTCTTCGTTTTTCTACAATTACTTCCCTAGGGATATCAGCAGGACCTACTTCCATTTCAATCACTCTGTTTATTTTCATTCTATAGTATATAGACTTTCGTTTGCTGATTGATTTCACTTCAATAAATCCAAATCAACTTCTAGGTAAAATAGATACTGCTCTTTTACTTCGTGGATATCATTAATTTCAAAATTGGGTAAGTCTAGCAATGCGCACATCACATACGTAGCAGTTAACAATTTTGAAAAACAGACAATGACGTATTTAAAATGACATATGTATGGACTTTAACACCAGCAAAAACCATCTAAAACTCTTAAAACAAAACGATATCTTTTTATTACTTAAGGGTACTTTTTATATTTTGGCTAAATAGAAAAATTATTGAAGTAAAGAAAGTTATATTACAAAACCACGATAAGAGGATAAAATGGCAAAGACTTAAACAGCATAAAACCTAGCTAGATTCCAAATAAAAAAATGAAAATTAAACGTAGAGGCGACAAAGCATAAAAGTATGATAGGTTCATTTCAATAGTACATGTAGATATTAACCGTAAAAATGTTACCTAAAACTTACCCTCTTAGGCAACAGTAGAACAGCTGTCCGATGACAGTTGAGTATTCGCCGGCCGCTATCAGTGGAGACGGGCGGGGTAATAAAAATTATATATATATAACGATATTCTTGTGGGCGCCAAGTAAATTAATCCACAACAAAATACTCTAAAAGGTCCCAATAATCCCCCAATTTACTAAACAGGGATTAAAGAAAAGACAAGTCTACGTTGACAAATAATAACCGTATATTGCAAATACCAAAAAGAAAAAAAATTGTATATAATTCAGCAGTTTACGGGGTAAACTCTATTTAACAGAAAAAGTTTAAATATTACTGTAAGTATAATCACCTACTTGTAATCGCAATGACAAACTATTTAATTAAGATAACATAACCTACTAATTACATTTTGTGAGATGATTATCAACCACAAAAAAAAAATAAAATAAAAAGGAAAGCAAAAAATTCAGTAGGTAATTTTGCTCTATTCGCAAGCGTCGAAATTTAAATATTGTGGGTTTATATTGTGTCGGTTAAGCTTAACGTACACGCAAATTCACAACCTATAAACCAGGAAAAATTTCCATAGTATGTTTACCATAACCAAAAAAAAATATATACTAATTTCCGCTGTACACTTTTTTTACACTCAAATTATAATAACCATGCTAAATCTATCTAGATGTTCAATAACTGGTAACTGGTTATTTAAGAAAAATAATAATTGCTTATTTAATTAAAACACTCGGTGTGTCATGTCCGGTTTTTTTAAAAAAAAGGACAGAATAAAGTCTCTAAAAGACAAAAAAAAAATCAGTTACCTTGTTGCTGTATTTAATTAAAAATAAATCAAAGAATGGATCCGATCCACCCTGTATAAAATCAGTGAACCTTAAAGTGTAAATTTAAAAGCAGAATAGAACAATGTTCTTCTTAACAATACTGTTGATAATTCTTTTTATCTAAATAATATGTTTTATCTTACAAAAAAAAAAGGCAAAAAAAAATATGGAAAACTATGAATTTCTAACGAAATTATGCTCTAAACTAAATTAGGTAGAATATGACAGGCTATACCTGGTTGAGTAGTGTCTTTACGTAAACCAATTTAAAGATCCGTAAGGATAGTTTACCGGTCGAAGAAAACATTCACTTCTCTCTGTCTCCAATTTTGTCTGAGGACCAGTAAATATCCTTAACGATTGAGATACTTATAACGGTTTTTGCAGGATCAAGCCAAATATGATTCAAGAAGAATATTAATAAGTTATGTTAATATCATTAAAACTTTTTGTTGTCATTTTGACAGCTATTGATTTGATTTAGGCTATCCAGATTGATGTTTACTTCAAGTAGGCATTTCATTGTTTTATACAGTCGGTTGCTATGATTTTTTTTATAAACAATGTACTCTTTTTTTCTTTGAATTTACTTACCACCGTTTCAGAACGTTAAATGATGTACTTACCGTTCTATAACGGTTATGTGTCGTATTTACCATTCTCGAGCGGTAAGTGAAACTTACTGTTATGAAACTAAGTACTGTAAGTAAACAAAACAGCTTGATCGTGCCAAAAATAAATAACAAACTGCTGTTTTCTTAGATGTTCTAATAATTCATGAAATTTGGCTGATTATTTTCGGGTAACCCTGTATATAAAAAAAGTATTATTAAGCAATAACAGTATTAAATTTCACTAAATGACATTCTCAATTATTATTTTTGTTTAACATAACATGTTAAACAAAAATAATAAAGACATAATAGAGATATATTATGTCTAATTTTAAAAAGTTGATTTCCTTTATCGTCTAGCAGTGAATATATCCAAACATTTTATTTTTTAGATCAAACAGGTCTTGACATAAGTGAAGATCTTAATGCATTTTTTACTTGTATGAGTTGCCTTCTGGCATGTTCCTTTTTTACTTACCGACATAGAAAATGGTCCACTTTTTTCAATGACGTTACTAACACCAGTAAATTTGGCAAACCCGCAGATTTTGATGCTGTTACGAAACGTGGAAATCGTGTTTCTGCTATAAATTATTGGTTTGGAAACATATGCTTGATCGGTTATGGTGTAGCAGCTTTAGCAGAGGCGTCTCACTGTAGACAACTAAATGAAGAAAAAGGTTTACACGAAGTCTGTGGTACATTTGTTTCAGTGTGGTTGCCCATTGAAGGTGATAAACTTTGGATTCAGATAGTAATTTTCAGTTGTCAAATGGTGACAGGATACTTTATATTTCCTTCAGTATCAGTAATGATATATTTACCATGGGAAGCATCTGAGGTGCTGATTTCGCACATAAATCATTTCAAATCACACTTTTTAAGAACATTTGATGAACCTACGATACAAGGAAGATCTAACCGACTTAGATTTTGCATTCAGTATCACATTCACATTTTGAGGTACTTTTTTAATATCTTAACTGTAAAATATAATAACGTTTCGTTTGTTTTAGAATGTCGAATGATTTAAATTTGTTGGTAAAATATACTGTTGGACATATTTCTCTTATATCAGCCCTAGTTTTTAGTTGTATAGGAAATCAAATATTTAAGGTACGAAAACTGTTAATTAGGGAGAAAATAATTACTGGAAAATTGAGCCGCGGAAAAATGTAATTTTTATGTACGAAAAGTAATAAAACTGTGAACTATGAAAAAATGACAGAGTGATTGATTTAAAAAACTGCCAAAGACCTCATGTCTCGAAAAATAAATTTAAAATCAAAGTACGTCATTAAATAGACTAAAAAATCTACAATAATTTGTATTGAGGTTGTTTTTTAGTCCAACTTATATTGGATTAAACAATAATATATTTTGTAACGAAGGTAGGTTGATCCCATATGAGTAATTATTCATGATAAATCAAAAAGAAAAATTCTCATAAAATTCCTTTATTACTGTGACCGGTTTCGTGAACAAATTAATTACTGTGTCTGATGATGTAAAGTAATTAATTTGTTCACGAAACCGGTCACAGTAATAAAGGAATTTTATGAGAATTTTTCTTTTTGATTTATCATGAATAATATATTTAATCACAGATCAGGTCTTCTAAGACATTTGCCTAACTCTGTACGAAAACCTATTATTCACAAAATCAATTGGCAGCTGACATATAGGTTGGCATAAAGGTATAGGTTTTTTGATTGCATTTGATTGAAAAAGAGTATTTGTGGACTCCAAAAATGCATCGTCGAGCTTTTTATGCTCTTTCAACAATTGTGAAACACTAATTATGTGGTTTTGTGGTCGAGTGGTGAGAACACTTGTCTTTCACTCTGGAGTTCCGGGTTCAATCCCCGGTCGAGGAGCTAGGATTTTTCCAAACCAGAAATTAATCCTAGCATACTCGGACATTTGGTATGTGTCCATTGTCTCTAAATGTGTAGCCGTCTCCCACACAAGGTACCTTAAAGTACCTTCAGGGATACAGTGGTTGTATTATCTGTGGCGTTTAATTTAATTTAACATGAAAGCACAAGAAATTCTAAAATTTGTTTTTCATTAATTACAGCTTATTTAAAAAAATTATTGAAGTTCTGATTTTTGGTACATGTAATCTTTAGATAAGACCGTCAGGGGTATAGTTCGACCTTTTATCGTTTAAAATATTTTATAGCCTTGAAAGCGCACTCTCTACGCCGCACCTCATGAAGTGACTGGCGCTTATTTGAACCATGACCAACCTTCGCAAACTACTATCTCACTATTCTCCACATCCAGCAATTTTCGGGTGTTGTGTAAGTGCATGGTAACCTGGATTTTTATGGAGCATTGCTTCTAGTTTATTCAACGCAACTTTCGTAACTACAGAAGCAGGCAAATTTTCACTGAATCGAAACAGCTAAGGATTCTGTCAAGGGAAGTCCTACTGTTTCCAGATTCGTAATAAAACATGTCTAACGATGAAAAACTGTTTTAGTTTGCAAGGTGAAAAAATCATAGTTATAATAATTTTAGGTAACAAAGTAAGGGATGGGTATTTTAGGTAATATTATTAGGTATCATAATATGAATCAACTTTTTATAAAACGGATTTCTCTTTAACTTATTTTTTTGTAACTAATGAAATAAATATAGCTATTTTACATAGAATCCGGTCTTACATATTACGTTGACACCATGCCTCAAGTTCTTCTCGTACGCGAGACATATTTAATGCAAGTTTTTCTAGAGATAGAGGTGTAACAATTACAGTGGTATTGTCATCAAACATGGTGAAAAAATTGTAATAATAAGGTTTTTAAAAACAATAATATTATTGCGGAAATTTTAATTGACATGCCAGACACGATTTCAGAAATTTTTTACATGAAATATAATGTAATGAGTAAAAAAGCCAACTAATCAAATTGCAGTAAAGTTTTATGGAAGATAGTGGTTTATTCAAATTTCTATCTCGAAATTTGAAATTTCAGTTTTCATCTTACTGATAACAATTAGTCTGAAACTAACGTCCCAAAAATATAAAACTATAGACATAAATAAATAGAAAAACTCACAGCAACCATAAAATTATAAAAAAAACGTTTTCAGACTAGTTCCTCTTTCAAAAAGTTGATTGAAGATGAAGTTACTTTGTGAAAATCCATTTTGATTTAAAAAATTATAAACACTTTTTATTACTTGTCTAATTTTCACTTTATTTGTTATTTTACAACTAGTTTCATCCTATTCGGACATTTTCAAGTAAACTAAATTATATACACAGATTTTACTTTCATTTAAATATAAACTGAACTGAATAGAGGGATGGGTCACTTTATGGTTGATAATATAATTCAAATTTGTACAGATGTTATGTTTTTAAATGTAGGGGTTTTTCCAAGCTAGTAAATTATATTATGGTGTGATTTTTATTAGCAGCAGTTTATCTGAATAAGTTTAATAACGGAGAATTTTTTGAGGAAATAATCTGTAGTTTAGTTTCATCTGGGTTGCTTGACAGGCCGATTTCTAAATGTTGATTGAAGATGAAGTTACTGTGTGAAAATCCATTTTGATTTAAAAAATTATAAACACTTTTTTATTACTTGTCTAATTTTCACTTTATTTGTTATTTTACAACTAGTTTCATCCTATTCGGACATTTTCAAGTAAACTAAATTATACACAGATTTTACTTTCATTTAAATATAAACTGAACTGAACAGAAGGATGGGT